TAGTATATGTATATGATTCTTAAGGAATGATATGTGGTCCTTATGGACATTATTATATGGCACCACGGTGCAATTCTACACGGCACTCCGGTGCAATTCTACGTGGCACTTCGGTGCAATTATACGAGCTGTGGTGACAGCATAGTGCACAACCTCTATAGACTCACATATCTATAGTTCTCATATGTGTACATGAGCTTTGAAAAGAGAACATAATTTGATATAATGATATGTGTATTTCTCTTGACATGGTAGAAGAGCATATATGTCATGGTGATATGAGATGTTATGCATTTATATATTATACGATTATATAAATTAGTAACGTATTGTGGCATATTAAAATATATATATAATATGTTTATATTCATTATATGCTCATATGACAGAATTGAAGTAATGACAAGGGAATTAGTAAGGATAAATAGGTTGGTGATATGAGAACAATGTATGTGATATATGTATATGATGTGTGATATGAATTGCATGATATGATATATGTGTGATAGGGGTTATGGTATCTGTTACATAATACACATGAATATATGTTGATGTATATGTAAATGAGTTGTATAATTTGATACCATAAAACAGTCATGCATGATTAGTGGGTATGAATTCCATTAGATGTGTTTTCTTTATGCCTCACTAAGTCATCGACTTAGCGTGTGAGTGTTTCACACGTAGGTTCCGGAAAGCTAAAAGAAAAGTGAAGAGGAGCAAGACCGGCCAGTTACTTCTTACCGAAGTTCAGATCAGAAAAGATGTCTTGAATTAGATGTATTTTGTATATTGAAAATAGTTGGCATGTAATTAATGTTTTGAATTGTATATACTCTGATTGGTTTTGCAAAAACATTTAAGCTCTGAATAGTTCTGGAAATCTTTTGAATAAGTTACATGTATAAAAGTTTTAAATTACTCACTATTTTATACAAGTAAACGTTTTGAAAAGTCAATGTGACACCTCAGACTCGTATCGGGGTCGGGTACGGGTTGGGGGTGTTACAATTCTGCTTCTAGAAAAGTTTCTCCATTCAGCATGTACAAGTTTGTTGCTATCTTTTCACCTTTCATCACCACAAGTTCACCACGAAACACCTTAATGATTCATTTCCGTGTTTCAATCTTGCTTGCATTATTATCCAACAATCTATAGGATAATAAATTTTTCTTCAGGCCTTTCATGTGCCATAGATCTTTAATAACTTCAATTGTTCCATCATACATTTTTAATTTGATGGTTCATACGCCAAGGATCTCTAAGGCATGATCATTGCATCTATACATAGATCATCTTGAGACAGGTTCATAATGATGGAACCATTCTCTTCTTGAGGTAATGTGATATGTTGCTCCCGAATCAATGAGCCATATATCTACAAATCTCTTTCTGCCTTCCACGGTGGTTGATGCTTCATAACATAGAGCATCTTCATCATCTGAAATGTTTGCGATATTGCCTTGTGGATTGAAGTTTTTACCTAGACTCCAACAATCTTTCTTCAAGTGACCCTTCTTTCCACAGTTGTAGCACTTTAAATTATTTTTTGCTTCTTGACTTTGATCTACCATATTTGTGACTTCTTCTTTGGCTACGTTCTATTGATCTCCCTCTCATCGTTGTCAACGCTTATACTTGTTGCAGACTTACTTGTCTGTCTTCCTTGTTCTTGAGCCGATTTTCTTCTTTTAGAACAGCAGCTGCAACATCATCGAAGGCTAGACTGGTGACATTATTGTTTGTCAAGTTGACGATGAGTTGATCATACGAATTAGGTCGACTTTGAAGTAGAATTTCATCACGTTCTTGTTCTCCTATTGTACAACTTAAGGATGTAAGCTGAGAAAATAAAGTGTTCAATGTATTTAAGTACTCCGTCACTGAAGTAGATTTTGGCATCCGGAGAGTGTACAATTTCCTCTTAAGGAAAATTTTATTGTGCAACTATGTGGCCTCGTACAGTTTGGTGAGATTATCCTATATCTTCTTAGTTGTCTTATTCTCCTCGATGCTTGACAATACTTCATCTGCTAATGCTAGATGAAAGTTTTCCATAGCATTCTTGTCCATTTCGATCCATTTGTTGTTATCTGTGAAATCTACTAGTCTTTCACTGATAGCTGCTAGACAACTGTCTTTCCTCAGGATGACCTTCATCTTCAATTTTCACAATGAGAAATTTCTCCCATTGAACTTTTCAATATCAAATTTCGTTGCTATAGCTTCTATTACGGATAGCTCCCACTATTTCACTATCGTGAATAGTTCTCTAGAACCTTCAAAGAATGGGTAATACCTTCTTACTTTCTTATGTTGGAGAATCCACATTTTAGTGGCAACCACAAAGACAATAAGTAGATATTACACACTCAAATCTGGCTCTGATACCAATTGTTGCGGAATACAGCTATCGAATTGAGCAAAATCGCAATTGATAATTTGATAAAATAAAAATGAAGATAAAGAAGACATAAATTTTACGTGAAAAATCTTAAATAATATAAGGTAAAAACCACGAGTAACGGCAGAAGAAATTCACTATGAGAAAATAGGAATTACAACTTCTCTCGATCTACAAGGAGAAAACAATAACAATTCTCTCTTGATAAAAATGAGAAAACAACTCTTAAGAAAATTCTCTAAATTCTCTAGTATTGGGAGAAAGCTAGAATGATTTGGGATGGTTTTGAAGCTAAATAGATTAGGGTATTTATAGTTTAAGCTTAAAGGCTAATATTGTAAATACTCTAAAGTATAAGGACTAAATTGGGTAATTATCCCTTGATAATTTTCAACAATTGCTGCAAACTTTGAACCAAAATCAACCGCCCCATTATTTGTCGACTGCCACTTAATTTGACTTTCAACAAATAACACAAGTCATAACATGACACACAAGTCATAACATAACTCATTTCAATCAATAATAATCATAGTTAAATTCAATCAATAATAATGATAGTCCAATTCAATCAATAATATTCATGGTATAAGCTAACTAAAACAATCACATTAAATGTTATGCAGATGATTGTGCACCCACCCATACCCCAAACATATCATCAATGAGTGGGTTCCCCAGAACCACTAAAACTACAAACACACCATATTCGAAGAGTGGGGTCCACCATAAAGGCAGAGGCCACTAAATCCGAAAAGTGACATTTACCCTGTCGAGTGAACGCACTGAACTTCCCCTATCATATTCATCCCATCATGACATACAAATGGCACACATATCCAATATCTGATTTGATCGGAATAACACATATCTAAATAACAAATACTTGAATATCATATATCTGAATTCTGATCTGATCCGAATATAATAATTACATATACAAATAATCTGAGTCCGATAAATAACACATATCACATATCATACTTTTGAGTTTCAAATGATACATCAAAGTCACATAACCATCATGCTCGAAATCAACTTTCAATTAACATATTATCATAAATATAATTAATTCAACATTACCATAAAAATTCATGCTTCCACTCAAATTCAGACAACCAAACAATTATCACAGATAATATTTAACACCGGATAGAGACACTTCTCAACAAAATAGCTAATGTCGATCGTAACGCCTATTACGATCAACTCGAGTAGGGATTCCACCCGAATTAGTTCCTACAGAATAATAATATAATTATTATATTATTCTAAAATTAACGATAAAAATATACCTACTAAAATTTATAAATATACGCTTACGATCAACACAAGCAACTCGAGTTGCAACTCGAGTTGAAGTTCTTGAGTGACAGTGGAGGAGACGATAACTCGATTTCCGGTTTGAAATTTCCTACAATAATTACGACGCACAAATCAAACCCCAATAAACCAATGTTTGAATTAAAGCAATAATTATCGACGACTAAACAAAATAATTCCATATTCGGTTTGGGGGACCAATAGTAGGTTCAGATCGAATAAGGGTTGCCAGAACAGTTAAACGAGTCTATCAGCGATGAGAATGCACCAGAAGCAGCTCTCGAGGCCGAAAAGGGCACAGTCAACCTCGATAAAAAAGGTCGGTCACAAAAACCAATGCTGCCAAATGATGGTAGCAGTACCCAAGCAACCCTAATGATGGGTCACACGACCGATGAGGCTTCCCCGACGAGCCTCGACGGCGAATTAAGGGGAAACATAGGATTAACAATTAGAGCATCGCTACCCAAAAATAAACCCGAGTCATATACCGAGCCAATCAAAACCCAGACAGTAAGTAGTAAAAACAGTAATTGTCTTGAAGTCTCGAATCGTGTAGAGATTTCCCTAGAGTCAAAGAATAACTAAAATATCTTATATTAGTGTATAACCAGATCAATATAGATAATCAGTAATAACTCAGTAACAAAAACAGAATCAATAATAGTAACAACTAAAATAGTAACAGTTATGAATGTTATAAAATTAACTTTTGTGTGATACTCGAGAAACAGTCAGGACACCCGAGTTACTCTAGTAATAAGGCGATTGTCTTGTTTGCCAGTTGTACACACTCGTTTTTGTTCGGGTTTTTTAAAATATTATTTATTTATTATTATTATTATTATTATTATTATTATTTCTTCTTTTTTCAGGAACCATGTTTAACCCCAACTACCCCAACAACACCACATCACCTGATGGTTAGCTTCCCACATTCCAAACGCTCTCTTCCACGTACAACAAACGCCGAAAACGCAGGGAGCACTTCCCATATTTTTTTCATTTAAAATGGGGACGAGGAATACGTTCACCGGGGGACACTACGTGGGGGCTTTCCTTTCTATTTATTTATTTATTTATTTTTTGATAGACACCAGGGGGAGTCAAAGAAAACGTTTGCTGCCAATAAACAGGACAAAAAGATGGAGGAGTGAAGAGGGGAGGTCGTAGCCGCAGGTGATGAATCGAAGCTTCCCACCCTCACCACTCAATCTATTTAAGAATGAAAGAGGGGAAAGAAAGGCACACACACAAAGTCGTGTAATTATCATGGATAGAGAGCAGGAAGAGCTTCAATTCCTGGGTTTCTTTGGCATATTGAAAGAATCATTGAAGATCGTATGTTCATGGAAAAAATCTTAAAATCTTCACCCAGATTACTCTTTCATTCATTTTGCCTCTCTCCTTCATCTTCCTAGCTCACATCCAAATCTCACAGCTCATTTTTGCTAATATTTTGAACAACCAAGATGCCTTGAATTATACACAAGCAGGGACGCCTGGGTACGATAAATTGTCTGATGTAATATCATTCGAATGGGTTTCGTTTTGGCTCTTCAAAACTGCCTATTTCACTTTCCTTCTCATCCTTTCACTCCTCTCGACGTCGGTCGTGGTTTACATGATCGCATGCATTTACACAGGCAAGGAAACCTCATTCAAGAAAGTCATCAGCGTCGTACCCAAGGTTTGGAAGCGGCTTTTCATGACGTTCCTGTGGAGTTTCGCCATCGTTTTTGTCTACGGCATCGCTTCCGGCGTGGTGTTGTTGATGCCTCTTGCTGTTCTGGGATTCGGCGGGTTGGGGATGTCTGCTTTCGTTCTTCTCTTCATCCCCTACTTGGCGGGACTGGTCTATGTTTCCTTGGTCTGGCAATTGGCTAGCGTGGTTTCGGTAAGAAGATTTCGGGATGAAAGCCATGAAGAAGAGCAAGGCGTTGATAAAGGCCTCAATAGCACACGTAAACTTGTGTGATGAGCCAGAGCCAGAGCCAGCCAGTGATGATAGTGAAAGTAGGGTTAATGTTCACTTTCCAAAAGTTGGAATAAATAAACAACAATGGGTCATGTTCACACTATAGCTACGCAGGAAAGGTTGATTTTCAAGGCCTGATTTCCATGGGACCACATCACATTCAAGTTGATATAAAAGTGTAATCCAAGAAGCGACAATTGAGTGCCTAAGACCTTAAGGTTTTTTAATATTCTTAATTTTTTTTTTATTTTATTCTTTTTTATATTTACATATTGCACCATTTAATATTTATCTTGACTTTTTAAGGACAACTTTAACTAATTAAAGGTGATTAATTTGAATCGAAACTTTAAATTTAAATTTTTACAATTAAGACAACCGACAAATTAATTGATACCGAAAGGGCAGTTCAATGGTGCTAATCCTTCCTTGACTATAACCGACTCCCGAACCCGACATTTTTCTGGTAAAGTACAGATCAGGTAAGATGGTGTCTGATCCACCTAAATGTTTTTAATTGATCGGTGGCGACTCTAACCTAATTTTCCTAAGTCGAATCTCAATTCCGGGCCCAACCGAAAGATGGTTTTGATAGCTTGGCGACTCCGCTGGGGACATGTAAGTGAGTCAGGCCGAAATTAATTTTCGGTTGTCTTCTTATGCGAAAATGGTAAATTTAAATTTAAATTTATTTGTTCGATTTCAATTATTTATCTTTGATTATTTTTCAAATAAATAGTTGTACTGACTTTTTCTTCAATGATTTCAGATTTTTCAAAGTTTCCATCTAAGGCTCTATACCCGAGCTCCGAACCATATTTAAGTGGGGGTGAAAGCGACACCTTCGTGTGAATTTATTCACCGCACAGGCCTAGCAAGTAGCCTTCGAGATTCATATACCTTATGTCTTCGTATGAATTTATTCAGCGCATAGACATAAGGGAATGTGTCCTCTCAAGTTTAACTTAGTCCACACAAGCCTGTGATGGGTTTAGGACTAAGGGTCTGGCAAGTCCAAGGGGGCACCAGCAAGGAGAACTCGAGTACCATTTTAGAACCTAAACCGGGAGAGTACAGGGAATTAGAGCCCACCCCAAGACCTCATTCCAAACCCTAGGTTGCTTTGTTTTTTATTCAAAACATGTGAACTAGAAATTTATGCGGTTAGGACTTGCTCAAAATCAACTTGCGGGATAAAGATCATGTCTGGGTAGGAATCATAAGCATGTTGGGTATATATCGTGTGGGGTAGAACTTTTATTTTCATGACTGATTTAATTATTTTTTGCCTCACTAACTCTTTTCATTTTTGTTATTTTTTTTTATTTTCATCATTTGCATCATTCAAAATAGGTGTTGATCCACCAAAAACGTGTTTGTTAGACATAAACAATTTGCATTAATGGACAAAGGGGTTGTAATACAAGAGATAAAAATACAGAGGACAGTCTACAAGGCGACTATGTGTCACATTTAATCCAGAAGTCGTGGTGCCCACAATTGAAGAGTATATTACTCTGCTGCATTATAAAGGACTCATAATGAACTAGGTCAACATCAAGCACAATGAAAGTCTATCTCTGAAGAACTGACTGGCAGAGGTTGTAGGGGCAAGATAAAGGTTACTGATCTTGGGAGTCCCTTCAAAGGCAGAACGATAGCTGAAATTGGAGATCATTGCTGAAGAATTCAAGAAACAGACAAATGAACTTTACATAGTTCCTATCAATTGAGGGCTCCAATGACGTATTCGTTGAAAACAGGTTCAACAAAAGATAAATGCAAGAGATGCAGTCATTCGAGACTTCTTGGGCCAGTACAAAAAACAACTCAACATTTGCACGGTTCATCCAGAGAAGTCAGAGCGGTTCGACAAGTTATTCAACCGGTGACAGACGAAGGCAGAAGACTAGTCAAACATGTCAGAAGCTGTCAGGATATTTTTGTCTCTTAAAAGATAAAACATTTTTGTCCCCAATAAGGATTATTTCTAATAACAGACATAATTTTTGGATCAATGCCTCGAGCATTACATGCATCATGCATTCCTGCATATTTCGCATTACTTTTCTCTTTTTTATTACATTCACATGTCTAATAAAAATGAGAACATTTTGATCCTATGACATATAAGGAGCTTTACCAACAATTGTTTGACGCGCATGTGGTGTCACCATATCCAGAGAAATCGATGAAGCCCCGTACCCCAGGTAGTATGATGAGAGCGCTCATTGCGAATATCATAGCGGTGTCCTAGGGTGCACTATCAAGAACTACTCCACATTCAAGAGAATTGTACAGAAAATACATAACAAGAATTGAATCGACTTCAACAACTCAGGGGCATCCAAGTGAGGCAGATCATTTCATCATTTGAGGCATTTTGTTTGAATTTGTTTTCCATCTTTTCTCAAGTTTTTGTAAGGGCATTTAAATAAATTTATGTTACTTTAAAGATGCTGAGCAATGAATCACAGTTGCAAACATGCAATTCTTTGAATATCATCTGAATTAAGAAACTCTATAAATGGTTCAAAGTTACAGATATTTGACGAAGTAACATGATTTAAAAACAAGGACTTTGACCTTACCTAGAATATACACTCAAACACCATACCATGCTCTTGCAATTAACCAATATAACCTTTTCCTTTCATAAGGTGCGGACAACATGGGGCATCGTTTGCATATGACGATTACTATACTTTTTATTTAAGACGTTCAGTGATGATAATGATCTTAACAGATTTAATAGTCGAGTAGGTTAATCTAGTTTAGGTCAGTTGCTTGGAAATTAAACTCTAAAAATGAATTTTTTTTGACTTTCAACAAAACACCTAGACTATAACAGGTTCTTCTTTACAATCTTAAGAAATTAAATCCGTAAAACTGAGCTATTCCACTAAGGCAATTGGTTATAGAGGAAACTCAAAAGCCCTGGCTTTATGAATAGATTACATTCAAACCATGACATTGTTCGGACACTTGGCAATTCGGTGTTTGCTCCACTGCTTTTGTTAGGCCGAAGACTTTGTGATAAGATGAACCCTTCAGTTAAATCTGATAAAAATGATTATGATGTTAAGTTTTCCCTCTAAAGCAATTGGTTAAACGCCCCGGCTTTATGGATTTGGCTAGCCAGATAACGGCAAATTAAATCAAATTTATCTAAACAATGCATTTTTGGTAGTGATGGACTAAGGGAGTTAAGGAACACCTGTTATAGTCAAATTCACACGAGCACTCAAGAATTTCATTTTTAGATCGATATTTCTGCACTGCCTTTTGTTAGAGAAGCGTACAAAACTTGAACAAATGGAAGATATTAGAGGACCGAAATAGAAGGTCTAGTAATTGGTCATTCTAGTTACGTTATTTTGTCTGCATCCAATTGAAATGCCAAGCCAGAGAAAAAAAATATGTTGCAATAATCGAAAAATGACATTTTTTATGGCTGAAACCGTAGAGCCAACTCATCCACTTGAATATTTTTTAAAGAGCTATAACTCAGTAAGTATTAAACGAGCTATTGATTCCTTTTATATTCTTTGAACTCATGTTTATAATTTGATTCGATTGCGAACCTGAATTAAGGAGCAATATTTTACAATATTTTTATCATTTTCCCTCCTAAAACAAGAAAAAAGAGAAAAATATTTTCAAACAGAACCGTCTCAGATTTGAAAGGTCTGTAAAGCCAAAGCCTGAGAAGAAAATGGGGCACGATCGATCCCAAGGACCAGATCAGCAGACAAAAATGAGGCTCCATCCTAATTCATGTTGCATGCATATTAGGCATACTTAAGAGCTTCACATTTATCACGTACATAATTTTTTGTAGCTTTTAGAGTCAAGTTTCGACTTCAAGACGAAGGATACTCGATTCAAAAGCACCTTTAAAGATTGATGGTGGTTTCTTAACTCAGCAGCAAGAAGCTACACTTCAACCAACGCGACAGATTGAAAGATCGACATTCATCTTCAGATTCAACATTTCCAATATAAATTTTGTCTTGCTTGAGACAGTCTCATTTAATGCAGATGATTATCTCACTTGAGATTGCTTTTCTTAAAACAGACTTTGTCTCACTTGAGACTATTTTACTCGAAAGAAGATTTATTTCACTCAAGATTGTTTTTCTTAAAACAAGATTTGTCTTTCTTGAGATCGTTTTCACTTGAAGGAAGGCATTTTATTTCACTCAAGACTATTTTTAAAGAAGATTTTATATCGTTTGATATAGTTTCCCTCGAAACAGAAAATTTGGTCTCCCTTGAGACAGTTTCTCTTGAAACATAAACATTGAAAACATTTCCCTTGAAATGAATTTTGTCTCTCTTGAGATAGTTTCCCTTGAAACAAAATTTTGTCTCCCTTGAGACAGTTTCTCTTAAAGCATAAACATTTCCCTTGAAATGAATTTTGTCTCTCTTGAGATAGTTTCCCTTGAAACAAAATTTTGTCTCCCTTGAGACAGTTTCTCTTTAAACATAAACATTGAAAGCATTTCCCTTGAAATGAATTGTGTCCCTCTTGAGATAGATTCCCTTTAAACAAAATTTTGTCTCCCTTGAGACGGTTTCTCTTGAAACATAAACTTTGAAAACAGTTTCCCTTGAAATCTTTGAATATGTTTTACAGTAAACAAATTTTGTCTCCCTTGAGATAGTTTCTTTTGGAACTAAGTTTTGTCTCTCTTGAGACAGTTTCTCTTAAAACAAATTTTGTCTCTTTTGAGACAGTTTCCCTTGAAACAAGATCTTTGAATCTGTTTTCCTTGAAAAAAATTTCGTCTCCTTTGACACAGTTTCTTTTAGAACTAAGTTTTGTCTCTCTTGAGACAGTTTCTCTTGAAACAAAATTTTCCCCTCTTGAGACAGTTTCTCTTGAAACACCAATCGTTGAATATATTTCTCTTGAAACAAAATTTTGTTTCCCTTGAGACAGTTTCTCTTGAAACACAAAAAACCTTTGAACTTATTTCTCTTGAAACAACACA